TGCAATCAAGGAGATCAAACCCAGGCTGTCATGTCAATGGTTTAGGCCAGAGACACTGAGGACCTGAATTAGAGCAGCACCAGGGGAATGGAGAATAGAGACAGGACTTAAGAGATATTTAGGAGGTAGATGTTGGGGGACTTGCTGAGCCATTATAGACCTGAGGCCTCAAAGAAGGTCCTCTCCCCTTGTTAGGATTTTATGTGGCGATTTATATGCACATCAGTCATGATTTACAGCAGGAGGCAGAAAACACTACATTAGTTGAAGAAAGAGATATAATGCAGGGAGTTGAGTGCTTGCAACAGACACAAGGCTGTAAGAGCAGAAACCAGGGGGCTTCTACAGAACTGGAGAGGTCACACCACTAGACCACCCAGTGGGTGAGAAACAGTTGCTGTTGCCACAGATGCCTCCAGCCCACCAAGTGGGAGTGAAGGGTGATATGAAGTTCAGCTGATGGAACCTGTTGGAACGTGCTTGTCCATCAACACAGTCAAGTTATTTGTTTTCTTGCCATTGACTTGGTGCAGGAGTGAGCCTGGAACCTTTGTCCTCAGTAGCCTGGTGCCTGGAGCCTGGGTGCTGGCCTGGAGCCTCAGGTAGGACTGGAGACCTGGGTCTACAGGGGTCAGTCTGTTGCCTGGGGTTACTAGCATGGTACTGGGGTGGGCCAGGAGCCTGGGTCCTTGGGACTGGGCTGGCACTGGGCTTCACTACGGCAGGTCTGTTTCTGGAGTTTATAGCAAAATTGGGTACTTGCTTCACTCTCTGTGCCCTGTTCCCTTGTGGAGGATGTCTCTCTCAACATTTTCCTGCCCAGACCTAGAGGAGAAGGGATGGCGTCACTGTCCTTCCTATCCTTTTCAATGTGTCTTTTCTTATTTGTGTGCTCTACGTAGGTGTTACAATAGCTCACGTGGATTACCTGGGTCTTGTGAAAGTACTTTTCAAGTGTGGATGGTTGTTAAAACTGATGTGGCCATGAAGGAACGAACACTGAACACGCCTATCCTGCCATATAGCATTTTCTTATTAATAACAGAGAATAGTGACTAAATTAGTAGCTCTCTGGTATCCCAGGATTTGGAACAGATTTCATTTCCTTCCTCTCCTTTTCCCTGCCTCCTCTCCCCTCCCTTCCCCTCCTCTCCCGTCCTCTCCTCTCCTCTCCCCTTCTCTCCTTCTGAGGCTCACTCTATTGCTGAGACTAAAGTGCTGTGACATTAGACCTAGCTCATGGTAACCTCAAACTTCTGGGCTCAAGTGAAGCTCCTGCTTCAGCTTCCTCAGTAACTGGGACTACAGGTGTGTGGCACCACACTCAGCTAATTTTTTTCTATCTTTAGCAGAGATGGGGGCTCACTCTTGCTCAGGCTGGTGTTGAACTCCTGAGCTCAAGGACTCCTCCTGCCTTGGCCTCCCACAGTGCTAAGATTACAGGCATGAGCCACCGACCCCACCAGACCTAGACTTCATTTCTTTCCACAGGCATGCTTAGAACCATATTTTTGTTTGTTTTAAATATAATATGATATGTTTATTTTCTCAGGGAAATCTATGCCAAATACATTTTTTTCATAATTGTACTGGTTGTAGAAGACATTGTCTACATTTGTGGTGCTCTGGGATCCCTTAAATCTGTGGGATTTGGGTGTATATCTTCCTTCTGACATGGGCAAGGGGAGGAGTGGAGGAAGGCATTGAATTAGATGCTAAGACGTTTTCTGAGTTTGAGATTAGGTAATCATTACAAAAAGAAGATATTTTCTTTTGTCTTAGGGTGTCATTGTAAAGAAATGACATATTGTTTAAAAAAGATATTCTTATATTCAAAATCCCCTCTTGTCAGTCACGTCTGATTTTCCTGGACTGATACTCAATTCAGTTTCCTTTGTTTTACACATGGCGCGTGCACACAGTACTATATTCTAGGTCCATTTCTAGGTACGGTGGGTTCAGCAATGAATACATTCAAATCCAGTTATTGAGAAGTTCCAGGAGATAGGAACATAAATAAAAAATTGTTTCACTGTTCTAACATCGTATGTGTCCATGTACAGAGAAAGATGAGAGGGGAGAGTGGAGCGATTAAGTCAAGCACTGGCCTAACTATAGTACAGAGCAAAATACAAGTGACACCAATCAGACTCTAAGTTTCTATAGTGATTCAAAGGAGAGGGGAAACATACTATATAGAATAAATTCAGAAAGCCTTTATGGGGGAGGTGGCATTTGAGATGGGTTTAAAAATGCTTTCTGATTAAGTTATTTTCTTTCAACTTTAAACCTGTTTTTTCGTGTTCCGTTTCATTGATGCTGGGGCTGAATCTCTGAAAGCTTCATTTTCCTTTGCTTGTTTGCTTCTTATCTGGGGGAGTCTCAGAGTATGGAAAAGGAGTAACTTACGGTCACTTGATTCCTGCTCCTGTTAGCATTTTTGTCTCCATCTTGGCAACCACGCTGCTGCTGTAGCTAGTTCCAGTTTCAATGATTCCAACACTTGCAGAGCCAGTTTTCATGTGAGCTCAGAGACACCAGCACCAGCAAGTGGGCACCCTCCTCAGAGATGAGATCCCAGCTCTGCAAGTTTCTCCTGGGCCTTTGGGTTTTATTATTTCCAACCTGATTCTTTTGATTTTATTATTATTTTTAATTGATGCATAATAATTACATAGATACATGAAGTACAGTGTATGATATTTTGATATATGTATACCATGGATAATGATCAAAGCAAAGCAATTAATTAGCATATCCATCACCCCTCAAACATTTGTCATTTCTTTGTATTGGAAACATTCTAAATCTGCTCTTTGAGCTATTGAGAGTAAGTGGTAAATTATTAACGGTAACTGCAGTCACTCTCTAGTGCTATAGAACACAAGAATTGATTCCTCCTGTCTAGCCGTCCCTTCGTATTCATTAACCCACCTTAAGATATTCTCCATCCTCCCCCTCCTCCCCAGTGTCCAGTTACCACTATTCTGCTCTCTACTGTTTTAGCTCCCACATATAAGTAAGAACACATAGTATTTAAATTCTGTGCCTGGCTTATAACTCTGAACATAATGTCCTCCAAGAACATCCATGGTGCCACAAATGATAGAATTTTGTTCTTTTTTATGGGTACATAGTATTCTATTGTGTATATATACATATTTGGCTATTGTGAATGGTTGTTGAAATAAACACAAGAGTGTAGATATCTCTTCATCATTCTGATTTCCTTTCCTTTGGCTTTATACTTAGTAGTGGGATTGCTGGATCATATGATAGTTCTATTTTCAGTTTTTTGAGGAATCGTCATACTGTTTTCCGTAATGGCTGTATTAATTTACATTCCTACCAACCATATGAGAGTTCCTTTGTCTTCAAATCCTCACCAGCATATGTTGTTGTTATTATCATTATTATTATTTTGGATAATAGGCATTCTAACTGAGGTGAGATGTTATCTGTCTTATTTTTTTATTTTTTATTTTTTTGGCCAGGGCTGGGTTTGAACCAGCTACCTCTGGCATATGGGGATGGCGTCCTACTCCTTTGAGCCACAGGCACCGCCCTGTCTCATTGTGGTTTTGATTTGCATTTCCTTGATGATTGGTGATGGTGAACAATTTTTCATATGCCACTTGGCCATTTGTATTTTCTCTTTTTTATAGATGTGCATTCAACTCATTTGCCTTTAAAAAATTGGATTATTTGGGGTTTTTTGCTCTTGAGTTGTTTGAGGCTGAGAAGTCCAAGGCTGAGACCCTGCATCTGGTGAGAGCAGGTGCATGATTAATCCATTCATGGGGGCAGAGCCTTTATCATCCAATCAGCTCTTGAAGGTCCCTCCCCTTCCATACTGCCACATCAGGGATTAAGTTTGAACATGAATTTTGGAAGAGACAACTATTGAAACCATAGTTTCATACAAAAAGTATTATAGAAATTGGATTATAGCAATTTACTATTCAATTTTATTTGTGTACTAGCATTTATAATAACAAATGAAATAAGCCTATGGACTGCATAAATTTTTGGTTACTTGATTCCTTTTAGGACACAGGTTTTCAAGAAAAGTTTGTTTCACTTAGCAATATGTGGGAATATTTCACACCCTAAAAGCAATATTTATTTATTTACTTATTTATTTGAGACAGGGTCTTATTCTGTGTCATAGTTCACAGCAGTCTCAAACTTCTGGAATTAAGTGATCCTCTTGCCTTAACCTCCCGAGTAGCTCGGACTACAGATACCTGCCACAATGCCTGGTTAGTTTTTATTTTTTATTTTATTTTTTCTATTTTTAGTAGAGACAGGGTCTTGCTCTTGCTCAGGATGGTCTTGAACTCTTGAGCCCAAGCAATCCACCCGCCTCAGCCTCCCAGAGTGCTAAGATTACAGGCACGATCCACTGTACCCTGCCTAAAAGCAGAATGTTAACTTTGTTACAATACATAATTAGGAAAAGAGAAAGATTTAAATTGCGTACAGCCCTCATGATAAATTTCAGCTTTAAAAATAAAAATATAAAGAAAATAACAGAAAAAAAGAAAGCATTAGATAAAAATGTGATCTTTTCCCGATATATATGTCATTTTCTTTGCTCTAAACTGTCAAAATTTAAAAATTATAATTATCAGAATTTTGATGACAAAAGGCAATATTGCTGATTTTAAAATAATATTTTAGACTTCTGGTACCTGAGAAGTTCAACCTCTACAGGTAGTATTAGACTTTGGTCACAGTTTTGGTAGAGTATTTAACTTTTAAAAAGATTTCCCTTCAGCTAAAATGCATATTTGGTCCTTGCTGCTGCCGCTGCTGCTTTCTGTTGTGGTTGTTGTTTTTCTGTTATATGTTGGAATATTTGTTTCCTTATTGAGAGTATAAATAAAATGAGTTACCTTGTGTTAATTTTCAACATAGACCAGGTCCAGGTGCTGTGCTTCTTGGCCAGGGAAGAGGAGGTCTTGCCTGGAGGATTGCTCCACAAAACAAAAATGAAATACAGTAGCCAGACTCTCCCTTTTATCCTGCAAATGGTTTGTAGATGTAGCTTGGGAATATCATATTATTTTGCTTAATTTGCTCTTTGTTTAAAGTTGAAGTGTTTATTTCAAACATTTTCTACAGGGGAAAAGAAATCATGTCAAAATGTTTCAGGAATGATTTAAATTAGACATAAAGAACACAGTTCTGATTACCAAGAGCCTACAGAGATGTGATTGATGCTCTTTTTAGATCATGCCATGATTCTTAAAGGAGCTTATTTAAAAAGGAGTAGGAGATGTGAGAAATCTTAATTTTTAAATAGGAAGTATTGTCGGTAACGTTCAGAAATTGCCTGAGTATTGTCGGTAACGTTCAGAAATCCTCGAGGGAACGATTAGAACAACACAAGGAAGACAGCAATTAACAGCATAGGAACAGCAAGGAGCTTGAGCCAATGGAAGAAGAAGCCTGGCTTCTGAAGAGTCCCAACAACTCTTGTCTTTGTGGGTTTCAATGTCCGGTCCCACTGGGTCAAGATGGCATCTCTGGCTCCTGGCCACTTCCCTGGGCCCACCAGCCTAAACTGGTAGGGGCTGCAAGGGCCGAAGAAAACTTCCACAGCCAATTTGGGATCTGTGAGGAAGAGCCACGGGATGTTGAGCTTTGCTCCAATGAAGGAGGCAAGTTCATCCATATAAACGATGTAATCTGTCTGGATGGTCTCACTGTTGCCAAACCTAGAGGTGGGAGAGGAAGCACCACAGTGGATGTCCGTAGTCTATGTAGAAACAAGAACAGGGAAAACGCCTCACGTGTTTTATCTGTGGGAATCAATGTCAATCTCTCCTGTAAGTAAAGGGCACAATGCTCATTTATCCTGTACTTTGTTGTTTTTCCAAAGAATTTTCATGTTGGTCTCATGTGAAACTCCTGCGATATGGCCAGGTTCCTAACAGGCCCACGGACTGTTACTAGTCCGTGGCCCAGGAGGTTGGGGACTACAGGGATAGGGAATAAAAGTTCACTTCCATGAGGCTTCAGACTCCTTTAGTTTCTAATCCTTTCTGGATCTACTTTCTGTGATACATTTCAGGAGCCATGGAACTCTAACACCATATAGTGTAAATTCTCAGCCCTATTCACTTTGCGTCTTGCACTTAACAGGACTTAATACAGTGTCAGGTGCAAGGTAGGTCTTTAATTACTATTTGTTGAATGAGAATGTAACTCACAGCTGTCATCCTAATGGACTATCCTAATTCAGGACTATTCAAAATCAAAACAGATTCAAGCATTCACAAACTCTGACTTTTCCATGGAAAGCCTAGACCCCCATTATAATAGGTGCTCTTACCACTTAAGCTTTCTCCCCATTTTCTCATCAATATCATCCATCATATCTTTCACAGAGGGCAAAGCACAAGTTCCTGAAAAAGAGGGACAGATAAGAGAATCATTAAATAAGTCTAGCCTAGGACCAGCCTCCAAAACTCCCCTCTAAATAATGATTTAGGAATCACATTAATATTTTTGTCTTCTGTCACCCTCCAGCAAAATAAAATCATGAGCAAATGAACAGGCAATCATTCTGAGAGACATACAGTTCTTTCTTAGTCTTCTCAGAATGGCTACTTGTCACAATAATTAAAAACCATTACCTAAATATCATAGGATCTTTGCTCTCAAGCTGGTTACCAGATATTTAAAATAAATTTCAGGGATTATATTCTAATCTCATGGTCATATTTTAAGAATGTTATCTAACAAATTAAAGCTAGAGGTGAATCAATGTCATTTTATCAAGACTTAAGGAAAAAAAAAACCTTCATAGGAAAAATCCTGCTTTGGCCAGAAAGGGGTATTTTTGGCAGATAAGATGTAGAATTCCTTGAAGCCCCAGGTCTTTCTCTAGAGAGCCAACAAGTCTTGAATGTAACTGAGGATATGGACTGTCCACAAGTCACCAAGGATGTAAGAGAGCCCAGGAAACCAGACCTGAGTTGCAGCTGCTCCAGGATTTCAGGCTGATATAGGTCTACAGAGCACTCTGAAACTCACACCAAAATATACTTTTGTGCCCAGAGATAATTTAAATTTAGGATGATTTCCTTGGTAATCTTGGAGTCACCTTGAATGAGATTAGAACTTCCAGTTCTCATCCCTGCCATCTTTATAAGAAGGGTCATTTAAACAGTTTTTATAGATAGGACCTGGTTCTAATCCTTGGAACCTGTCCTGATCTTGGGCATGAAAAGAAATTGGGAGAAAAGAAACAGTATTGGACAGTCCACCAGCTACTGTCCCTGGGTTGCTTGTAACTAGCGCCTCCAACCTGGTCCTCTTATTCTCCACTTGCCCTAAGACTGAGCCTCTGTCTTGTACATCAATTCCCTATCAATTGCCTTGTTTCTTTTCTTCAGAGTCCAAAGTTACACTTCTTGTCCTTGTGAGTGTAAATATCTCACCCTTCCTTTAATGCCAGTCTTTCTGGGCCTGACTCCTAAGTGGAAGCCTGTGTGGAATTTCATACAATCCGCTCCCTGAATACTTGGTCTTACATTCAGCACCTACCTATAACTCTATTTGTAGCTGGTTGTGAATCTGACCCTAGTGCCTGCTAGTGGAGGATGCTGCTGACTTCATTTCTAGACCTCAGACAAGTTTGTTGTGTCATTTCTCTTTAAGAATCAAGGACTCAGTATTACATTTTAGAGACTGACCATTTGGCATACCTAGAGACTTTCTGTCTTGAATGCTCCATTGCTTGTCCTTATCTACCAAATGGCAGGAAGATAACAGTAGCAGAGAAACCAATGGCTTTCCAGGAAACACATTTTCCATGACTGTGGATATCTAAAATTGGCTGGATATTGATTTGCAAATATTTATTTATTTATTTATTGAGACAAAGTCTCACTTTGTCAGACTCGGTATAGTGCTATGGCATCATAGCTCACAGCAACCTCAAACTCTTGGGCGCCAGTGATTCTCTTGCCTCAGCCTCCCCAGTAGCTGGAACTACAGGTGCCCACCACAGTGCCCAGCTATGTTTTAGAGATGGGGTCTCACTCTTTTTCAGGCTGGTCTTGAACTCCTGAGCTCAAGCAATCCACTGGCCTCAGCCTTCTAGAGTGCTAGGATTAAAAGTGTGAGCTACGGCGCCTGGCCCAGGACATCTTACCTTATTAATCTTTCAAGCAATGTAATTTTACTGAGCCTCAAAATCATAATTTTATAAATTTGTTGTGTACTTATGACAAAGAGCTCTATGTTCTTGAATTTAGTAAATGATCTCGGGTAATTCTCAGCTGTAAGAAGGTATAAGTCATAAAAACTCCTCTAATAATATCTTGTACTATTGCACATGATAATATGGTATAATATACTTTAAATTGCTTGTAAAACATAGCAACAAAAATATAGAATTATAGATTCTCAAAATTGGATGGTACCCTTGTAATTATTTTCAAAAAGACCCAACATTATTCTTGCTGTCATTCATCTTCCCCACTGATGAGCTTCTTTTTCTACTTACCTTTTATTACTAGTGCTGCCCAGCGGGCTTGGAGGTCAGCTGTGGGGATGGCAGCCCCAAGGGACTGAACAAGGCCAATTACTGCCATGGTTGGCTTCTCCAGTAGAGGAGGGAAGATGCCTTTAAACAAGGTGACTTCGTTGTTTCTGCTTTTGATGATAGAGTCATCGAGGAAGGGGTAGGCATAATTATAGCCTGTTGCAAAAAAGACACAGTCAATGGCCTCAAACACAGTCCCGTCCTCAAAAATGGCCGAGGTCTCTGTGAACTTCTTCACGTTAGGCTTAACAGACACGGTGCCGCACAGGATGCAAGCGGGGAGCTCATCATTAAACACAGGCTCTTTCCTCAGGGTTCTGCAGGAAAAATGGAGACAGTCATGACAACTCGAGTATCTCCCCTTCATTCTGTTGGCCCCCATGCCAATTGATGCAGAAAGAGAAAACTCCCCGAGATCTTTTTCCTGAGCCACTGAGTATTGCCGGTGTGGCTAAAGAACAAGACTGATGTGAAACATCATTGTAAAGCAAGAGAAGTCGCGATTTTCTCGCCTGATCTTCATTCTCTTGATCACCTTCTTTCTTTCCACAAAGCATTTTCCACTTCCAGAATAAACACCTGTACTCAGTCCCCAGTTAAAGCCTATTCCAGAAAAAATCCTAAGTTGTCCTGATGGCACTAGCCATGGCCCTTGCCCGCTTCCTTTTCTGCCCAGCGCACATCACCGTGTCATCTTCTGCCAATTGTTCTTGTCTGTTGCCCGCTACTTAGAATTTAGGCTCCAGGTTTTGGAGGACAGAGATTTTTGCCTGTTTCATTTAGTAATATGTCCACAGGATTTAACATAGGACTTGACACATACTAAATACTTTTAGGTATTTGTTGAATTAACGAATTCATTATGATATGAATTTGTTTATAACGTGGGTTTTTTTCCTCCATGGCAAAGCCGTGTCTTATGGGACCGGCTTGGAGGGTGTTACAGGAGAAAGTGAGGAGGAGATTGAAGGGGAAAGCAGTGTGGCCTGCCTGTGCCCGGCGGGAGGGCCAGTTAAGGGCCAGTTAAGTAATGAGAGTGTAGGACAGAGGAAATTCTCTTGCCATGCTTACCAAAGTGAGAGACAGCAGAGCAGGTGGCTCAGGGAGGGGGTTCTGGAATCAGCAGATCTTTATTTTTGATGCTGCTTCTATTTCCTTGCTGCGGGACTTTGGTAAAGTTATTGACTACACGGATCTTCAGTTTTCTCATCTCTAAAAAGGGGATACTGATAGAGCCTTCCTCACAGTCACAAACCTCGCTGAGGCTCTGACATGTATTAAGCGCTTGAAGCACGTTGACCATGATTATCATTACTCTCGGGACTAATGCCTGAACTATTATATAATGCTCCAGCTGTGGAAATCTAGTATGGAGGATTACAAAACAGGAAATCACTCCTAATTTTTTTCCTTTGATATCCATGGACATGTTTCGACTGGTTTTGGGTTGCAACACACATTAAAGGCTGTTGACAGAGGGAGAAGCAGGCTGCCAAATCACATTTAACTCTGTGTTACCCATTTAAAGGCATCAAGCCATAGTTCTCGTGCTTGAATCTGGCATTCATCTGTTTCACGTACAACCAGTCTGAGATGGCTGTCGGTAAGTTGTTCTTGAGGAAGGTTCCAAATCGAGTGACATATAACATGTCCCAAGGATAGCCATTGTCCCAGACCCGGCTCATCACCCAGGAGCCACTTCTGGAGCTGATGATGACCTTAAACAACACCAATTCAACCACAGACTTAGTGATTGTGTGTAGCAGACATTGTGACGTGCCCCCCGCCGCCCCCTTTGGGAATGGATTTATTACTCTAGCTGTTGAAAGTGGGCTGGAAGCCACCTCTCAGCCGTTAGTGTTCTTTGGGAAATGCTTTGGCTGAACAGCATTTGACCTCACTCAGGATCTTACACTGTCTGGGTTTCTTGCTCTCGGTGTTTGTTGATGCAGATGTGTAAAGGCTGTCCCTCACCCCAACTTGGGACAATGCCAAAGTATCATTCAGCTTCACAGTAAGGTAAAGGGAAGCTTCTTTCCCTTCTTGCATAGCTATGAATCCTGAAAGCTCTCCTAAACTAACTTCTAGAACTCTAATCTACATTCAGAGTCAACCTGACATTCAAGTCATTAAAATATATGACATAACTTGACTCTAATCTTTCTTTCCTGTCTTAATTCCTGTAGCATATCTGTTCTTGGAATCAGAAGGCTTAGCTTTCAGTTCTCTAAACATTTTGGTGGCTCAAATATTAATTTTCTCTATGATTTTCAAGAAGACAGCTGACATTCCTGGGCCTCAGTTATCTTTTCTGTAAAATGGTCATAATAAAACTCAATTACCTTCTTCCCACAATCAAAGGAGCTCATTTATATGGAGGCATCTGAGTACCATAATGCATCATAAAAATTTTTACTATTAAGAACCTCCATTCCAATAAGATGAACCTATAATAGTCAAATATGCAGTGGTCATTCTTATCTTCATACCTTTGCTCATGCCGTTTTCCTTTACTTGAACAGTCCCCTTGACAATCATATACTCTATATTTACACTTCAAGGACTGGTTTAGTTCTCCCTTCCTTGTGAGGCCTCCAGGCCTGGAATCATAGCATTTAGTGTCTGACTCACTTGTTTATCATTCATTCTAGTGGAAGCTCTTGTTTCAGTGCAAGAATCCTATCCTATCTGTTCCATTCTAGCATCCAAGCCACTGCTGGGCACATAGTAGACTCTCAATAAATAGCCATGGAATGAATACATGCATAAATGAATAAATAAATTAATCTCTATTGCTTAAATCACATTCCAATCTTTAATTCTAACAAGCACCAAAAGGAGGTTTAATTTTTATCTGTTTTACCATTGAGAAACCTGAAATTCGAGGGAATGAAGGACTTACCCAAGATTCTCAGAGTCATAACCTTAACCCTAAATCTGGTTTCACAGAGATTGATCACACTCATTAGGCTCCAAAAGTCTTGAGATTGTTGTATGACAATATCACTCCTGGCCAGTGTTCTGCCTGTCTCTAAGTCAGTGGTTCTAAACTTTCTTAATGCTGCAACCCTTTAATATAGATCCTCATGTTGTGGTGATCCCTAACCATAAAATTATTTTCGTTGCTACTTTATAACTGTAATTTTGCTACTGTTTTGAATCATAATGTAAATATCTGATACGCAGGATGTATTTAGGCAATCCCTGTGAAAGGGTCGTTCGACCCCCAAACGGGTCGCAATCCACAGAATGAGAACTGCTGTTCTAAGTGATTTAAAACCTTACATGCAGCTTAGGGAAGCTGAGCTTAGTTTTCACATCAGATACCCTCCCCCACCCTGTTTCATGTCACACCTTTCCAATGATAACTGTTTCTGTCTCTTTAGATACAGTCCCTTGAGTAACTGGGAAGTGGTACCTGTGCAGCTGTGTGGCTCAGTTCCGTGGCAATATCACAGCCTGAATTCCCCAGGCCAATCACCAGGACTCGCTTTCCCTTGAATGCACCTGGTTCTTTATAGTCCCTGCTATGGAAGCATTTGCCTTTAAAATCTTTTAATCCTGAGTGAAAAGTGAGAAACATGTGAATTAGTTTGTTTTTCATTGAAAAAAACCCAGAAGGCTGATGAGGCAGCGGTGGCTCATGTCTATAATCCTAGTACTCTGGGAGGCTGAGGCTGGTGGATTGCTTGACTTTAGGAGTTAGAGACCAGCTTGAGCAAGAGCAAGACCATCTCTAAAAACAAACAAACAAATAAACAAAAATTAGCTAGGCCTGTGTCAGGCATCTATAGTCCCAGCTACTGGGGAGGCTGAGGCAAGAGGATTGCTTGAGCCCAAGACTGAGGTTGCTGTGAGTTATGATGCCAGGGCTTTCAACCCCAGGGCAACTGAGTGAGACAGAGTCTCAAAATAAACCCCTCCAAAACAACCCCTAACTACTTTAACAAAAGTGATTTTGTGAGTCGATATACTGACAATAATATGGAATTTTAACTTTCCACATATATGAGATATAAAAGAAGTATATTTTAATTTGACCTGTTTCTACTTTGAGGGAAAAAAAATGACATCATCAAGATATTCATTCTTCCCTGATGTATAGAGAGCAGTTTGAATTTTCACATTACCTGGAAAGGATTCTTTTGGAAGGTGGGGGTACACGTGATGTCCAGAACAAACCATTACAGCATCAAAGATGGCTGATTCTTTTTTGCCATCTTTTTCAGTGATAACTTCCCATTGGCCGGTAGTTGAGAAATCAGGACGTTTATTTATACTGGACACAAATGTCTAAGAGAAATATAGAAAGAAATATTTTCTATGCTAGCAAGTAGAATTGACAAAAGTAATATGAAAAAAGTAGTGACTTAGGAAAAATGCTGAATTCGTTGTTGAGGCACATGTTACAAATTTAAAATCCCCCCAATAAAACAGAACACTAAATTTAAATATATACACACAATATATACATGTGTATACATATAAATGTATACATGTGTGGATATTATATATATATCTGTGCATGGCTTTTTGTGCATGACTAATATTTTCTGCAGTACAAGAGTGACACCCCTAGGAGACAGGACAGTGAATTCAGTTTATAGTGTACAAAAGGTGCACACCACCTATAGTACATAATTTGGTGGGCACTAATTTTTGTAACTACCACCCTCTAGCCATTTCATTTTTAATGTTATTATTGTCTTAAAATAAAATATTTTCTCTATTTTAAGGATACATGTTTTTCTCAAATCTTACTACCACTTAACAAAGCTTGTTAAAGTATACATTCCTGGATCACACTCCCAGATGTTTTAGTTCAGTAGGTTGGGGCAGGGCATGAAAACTTAAGTTACTAAAAAAGCCCAGGTGATTTTGAAGCTACTTGGGCAGCTCTTGACTAAACAACTGCCTGCTAGTGTGCTCCTTCTTTAAAAAAAAACTTTCAGACCCTACAATCCCACTACTAGGGATCTACCCAGAAGAAAAAAAATCATATTATCATAAAGACATTTGCACTAGATTGTTCACTGCAGCTCAATTTACAAATGCCAGGAAGTGGAAACAACCTAAATGCCCATCAACTCAGGAATGGATTAACAAAGTGTGGTATATGTATACCATGGAATACTATACAGCCATAAAAAGATGGTGACTTTATATCTTTTGTATTAACCTGGATGGAGTTAAAGCACATTCTTCCTGGTAAAATATCCCTAGAATTAAAAAGCAAGTATCCAATGTACTCAATACTAATATGAAGCCAGTACATGATATAATTCACGCCCACATGGGAGAAAAACTCATTTCCATTCAAGGTGAGGAGAGGGAAGAAAGAACAGAGGGGGATCGGTGTGCTCCCACTTAATGGGCACAATGTAAGGGTGTATGGCACACCTTTGGGGTGCAGAATACAACTACAAGATGGGCTGTACCTCATAAATTCAACTATTGTGACCTGGTTGTCTATATCTTTGCATTAACTTAAAATTAAAAAAATTATAATAAAAAACAAAAATAACTTTCAGTTCTTCTGATTATATTGGAAAGACAACCTTCATTTGATATTAATTGTTCTTCAAAACTTTAGGATGTGGTTATTTCATACATACATATTGGAGAATGTACACATATGTAACATTTTTACTTCTTATGAAATATATTAATAAAATGAGCCCTTATAAACTCATAGGATCATGCACATCATTTGAATAACTCTGATATTATTTACTTAGTTACCCTTTTATAAATGATACCTTTTTAAATTATAATTTGTTTGTTGCTGGTTTATAGAAATGCAATTGATTTTTATATATGGATCTTATATAACATACTTTGTCTAATGTTTTTTGTATTGTCATTAATTTTAATAATTTGTAGATTATTTGGGGTTTAGTCAGTGAGATATCATTTATAATAATGATGCTTTCTCTTTATTTATTGTCATTCCCTCTATTTTTTTATTTATGATATTGTTTCTTAGATTTCTTAAGATTATTGAAAATAAATAATAAAAATAAGTGATTTTTATGTGTTCTGGACTTCAAGGGGAATGCTTCTAACTTTTCACTACCAAACACAGCATTGTCCGGTAGTAATATAATCTGAGCAACGTATGTAATTTTAAATTTCTAGTAGTTAACATAAAAAGTAAATGCAGTAGTCATTGTAAAAAGTGAAGCAACATATAATTAAATCTAATTCTATCTGATATATTAATGTTTCAATATTTAATCAAATAATTTTTTTTTGTATTTTTTAGATAGTCTGTATCTTATACATAGAGCACATCTCAGTTTTGTGGCTAATGGTACCATAATGAGAAGTGCAGATTTAAGCGCTTGTGTGTGTTTTGATGAATAAAGAAAATGCCCTTCTAATCTTAGTTTGGTGACAGTTTTCTTTTTTTCTTTCTTTCAAGTACAAATCAGTGTTAAATTTCAGTGTTAAATATCTCCTTGAATTTGTTAAATAAACATGGTTTTCTGACTGTCACAGGTTTTCGTAGGAAATTATATGTTTATATTTCATAATGTTAAAATACTCTCACATCCTCAACTCAATATAGGCAGTTAGTCTTTTTAAATACTTTGTTGAGTTCATTTTGGAAGGATTTTTGCATGAGTTTTCATGAAGGAGATTGGCCTGTAGTTTTTCTACTTCACATTATCCTGTCTGCTTTTGATATCAAGGTTATCATTTTATAGAAAGAGTTTGGAATCATACTTCCTTTTCTAATTTCTGAAAGAGTATATAAAATACTGATAATTTGTTCACTGCAAATTTGAAAGTACTCATCTATGGAAGTGTTGACTTTCTTTATGGGAAGATTTTTAATTTCTAGGTCAAAAGAACTATGAATCATCAAGGACTATTCAGGCTTTCTACTTCTTGAGTGAAATTTATAAAATGTTTTTAAGAAAAGAGTTAACCAATTTAAAATATTATCTTGCAAACATTTTTATAGTATTTAGTCTGCGTCTATTTTGTCTATCTTTTCATTTCCAATATAACTTATTTGTGCCTTTGCTATTTTTTTCTAAAACTACCAGCGATTCATCTGATGTTTATTTTATTAGAATATTTGAAGAATAATTTTTTAATTTTGTTACCAGGCCTTATTTTCTATTTTATTAATTTCTTTTTATTATCTCCTTCATTCTGTGTCCTTTGAGTTTATTCTGCTTTTCTCTTACCAATTTATTGAACTTCCTTACCTTATTAATTTTTAATCTTTTCCCCTTTCTAATATATGCATTTATGTTTAAAATTTTCTTGAAAGTATAGCTTTTTATGTTTCTCACAAATAGTGATATATAGAATCTAAATTATTATCAGTTATATTTTTAAATTCTCATTGAAATTTCTTCTTTGACTTGTATATTATTTAGGAAAAAAAGAAGTTTTAATTTCCAAATTCATGGCTATTTTACATTTTTTTGTTATTGATTTACAAATTAGTGGCCTCTTGACCTGAGAACTATATGCAGTCAAATTTTATAAATTTCCTTTATATTCTTAAGAAGATATATTCTCTAAATCTAGAGTTAGAGAGACCATACTGTTAAAAATGTTGACAAATAAGAAAGGGATAGTGAAAAGTAACAAATGAAAATTCAATAATAGACATGGACTTCCTCATCATTATGCCAAAAGCTAATTTGTTGATAGCATCTTACCTTGAATTGTATGTATTTCAGGAGCTTCTTTTCTTTGGCAAATGCAGTGATATATTCCTGGATCTTGCTATTGTGCATAAAGTTGGGAAAGTCATCAGGATATGGAAAGTCTGGGAAGCACATCATCTCTTTGGAAGAATTAGTAAAGACCGATTGGTAAATGCTTGCCCTGCCCTCCTCTGCATGGTCCTGTGAATGTACAGTTTGAAATGGAAGATAGTTGGTAAAAAAAAAAAAAGAAAAAGAAAAAAAAATACTGATCATGTTTGGGGCCAATTCCAAGTAATTACAATTATTCCTTGGTGTCTGTGGGGGACTGGTTCCCCTGTGGATATCAACATCTGGGATGCTCAAGTCTCTTAAATAAAAGGGATTTTAGTATTTTCATATAACCTATGCATATCCTCTAATATACACAGGGTCAGACAAAGTACAGGCTTGGGGTGGTCGGCGGGGGTGGCACGGGCAAGGCACTGCTCACCACCCATTCCTCCAGTTCTATTTTGTAACGGATTAGGATCCAACCATTGAAGATTCTTACACCAAGCGTGTGTGATAGATGACAGAGCAGCCAGCTAGATATTTTAGATACAGCAGGACAAGAAAAGTTTGGGCCATGAGAGAACAGTATCTGAGGACTGGTGAGGGTTTTCTGTTGGTCTTCTCAGTCACAGATAGAGGCAGTTTTGAAGAAATCTGTAAGTTTCAAAGACAGATTCTCATAGTAAAGGATCATGATGAGTTTCCAGTGATTTTAATTGGTAATAAAGCAGAGCCGGGTCATCAAAGACAGGTAACACAGGAAGAAGGACAGCAGTTAGTGTGACAGCTTAAGGTAACATAGGTGGAGGGATCGGCAAAGAGTAGGATGAATGTAGATCAAGCTTTCCATGAACATGTCCAGGTTAGAAGGAAATTTCAAGAGCAGGAATGTCCTCCTTCACCAGAACCAACGCGGAAAGAAAAAGACAAGAAAGGCTGTTGATGTTTCATTGTCTAGAATGCCTCAAGTTTTAGCTACCAAAGCCTCATCATGTCCTCTCCTTACAGTTTACATCATGTTGGTACCTTTCTAGCCTTAGACGAATGTTCACCTTATTAGTCTTAGACCAAGAAGCTGGCTAATCCCATCTGTGAAGCTAATACAATGGCCATTTCCACACAGATTTAAAGGAAACACTAAGGCTGCTTCAAAGATTACCTGATTCCTTTTAAATATGTTTATATCGACAGACACATTCTTTTTTAAAGCGTTTACATTTTAATAGAGATGAATCAGTTTTGGAACTTAAGCTGTCTGCCAGGCGGAAGACCCAGGTTGTGAAATAATTTTTAACTTCTGGAATCTTACTGCCTACCGTTATTCTAAATAGACATATATGGAGTTTTTTTTTTTTATTAAATGTGAATTTTTGCCTGTCTTTAAAAATTTCAGTGTCAACTTTAGTTAACCTTAAATACACTGAATTGAATCTACATAAGTGAGACATCTCAGACCTTTATGGATGCTATAGCTTTTGTTTTCCAGTGGCCAAAATACCAAATGCCTATTGTATTCATAGATTAAAAACCGGTTATAAAAACCTTTGTTATTACTCCTATTCTTGAAGAGGACTTGCCTATTCTGGATTTAGGATTATATTTGACTTGCCTATTCTGGACTTGGGCATTTCAGTGTACTTGGTTTTTTTGATTTAACTCTTTTCACAGTCATGCTAAGGGTAAAAGTGAGTGATATCTGTCTGTCTTCCTTTTCAAGTATTTCTGGATAAACTGTTTTTGTTTGATGTGATATAAAATATGGAATTGATCTTTCCAGGGTCAGAGATGATAAATGTTTTTGCTATATACTTTTATACATTATTTTCTCATCAAACTAGTTAAAAAGTATTTTCATATGTTTGTAAGCAAATGTGCTTTCACAGCACACCTTGTAGTTATGTAAAGATATGTATTTAGTTCTCACTCTTCACTTTTAACTGACAAAAAAAAAATGAACAAAAAAGCTGAAACTACACAAACTGTGGTAGAGCTTTTACTTGCTGGTCTGGTTCTGGCCAGTCACATATCTACTCAAGAAACCTTCCCAATAGAGTACAACAGGATGGACTCTGAAATCAGTTTCAATACCCCCTACTAGATATTGACTGTTACATCAAGTTTTAAGTGTGTAAATTTTTTTTTTGAGACAGTCTCACTATGTCACCCTCAGTAGAGTGCCGTAGCATCGTAGCTCACAGCAACCTCAAACGTTTGGGCTTAAGTGATTCTCTTGTCTCAGCCTCCCAAGTAGCTGGAATGACAAGGCCGCCACAATGCCCCACTATTTTTTTGTTGCAGTTGTCATTGTTGTTTAGCTGGCCCGGGCTGGATTGGAACCCACCAGCCTGGGTGTATGTGGCAGGCGCTCCACCCACTGAGCTGTGGGTGCTGCCATGTGTAGAGCTTTTAATTGACAATTAGTATAACTGTGGATGGTTTCTGATTTTGCTTTGAATTCTGTGGATTGTATTTAAACAATTCAAAAGTATGTTCCTGATTCTCAGATACTAAGTGATATTACACAGTTGTCACTTTTATTGAACGTGTACAACAGTCCTATGAAGTTTGTAAAGCACACCCTGTATAGCTTCAGGTGCTAGAATTAAAATTGATCTACTTTCATAGTAAATAAATAAATAAATAAATAAATCTTAAGTAAAAAAAAATGTAGGCTGGAAAGAAAGGCAAGCTTGAACTGAAGTCTCCACTGTTTACCAGCTGTGTAATTTTTTTTCTTTTGGTTTTAAGCTTCAGATAAATTTGTAAAAGAAAAACTCATACCTAATTGATAGGATTATTATAAAGATAGAATTAAATGGGAAATCATTTGACTTATTAAAACGTGGTCAATGAATTGGCCCTAAGGGTCATCAATATGCTAATTTGAAGCCCTGTCAGCCATTCCAATAACATACCCTAGGCTCCACAACATTGTACAAAATGCTAGGTGGTTTCCAGAGTTCTTTACAGTATACAACATTTCTATATTAGTAGGAATAATAGCTCATGTCTTTATAATATTTAAAGAACTTTATAGATACTGTTTCATTAAACATAAGGTTTTTATTGAGGCATATAAAATTTAATACTGATTGTGTATATGAAGAAGAAATAGTGGCTTAAAGTGTCCCATTTTAGATGATCTTCCTTAATCTTCATATATAAGTGGGCTTATGAGAAGAAGAATAAGATGGATGAGACTGGCGTGGTCCCACAGTGTAGAGATATTGATGGAACAGAGAGCATAGGGAAGCTCTCACACCTGCTGTAGTCCAGCAATGCACGAAGTGATTAAACAAGTGCAGGCATGAGTGTTTGCTGATAGAGCCCTTATTATAAATCCACAGAAACAAAGGGGAGTTGAACAACTTCAAAGCACTATGTTCTATTCTTGGTGGTTTTTGCAGCTCTCTCCATTATGTGGTTTCATAAGAGGAAAATTAGCGCCTGAAACTTTAAACTCTGTGATCTGAATCACTAAGAAGACCTTTGGTAACTTCAAAAAAGAATGAAAAATCATTTAATTTTGAAATGAGTAAGTAACTCATTCAATTATAATTGCATAAACCTAACCACTATGGGCCACACATTTTATGTCTTATTGGCTCATATCATTAACAATTTATCAGAGGTGAATTCTGTACACAGAAGCCTGCTAAACCCTAATTTACTAATTTACGAATTGTCTAATTGTCTTCCCACTTGTGAAAAGGATGTTTCCAACCTGGATGGAAAGGATCCAACCAAAAGGATGCTTGCAAAAAGGATACTTTCCTCCTCATGTTGTATTCTGTGGATTCCAAACCTAACTGCCGTGGTAGCAGGTTTGGAAGCCTTGTTCAAGAAACATTTTCTTGTACACTTCCCAACTCACTTTCCAACTCATGTCCCATCTATTGCCATGATGCCCTACTTACAGAGTATTTCCATAGGCCCCCGATGTCGTTGCTCCTCTCAAAGCAGGTAGGCTCCAGCCCCTCTTCCACACAGCTCCTGATGGAGGCCAAGCCACTGACACCTGCTCCAATGATGGCGACTCTCTTCCCCATGGTTGCCTGTGCAAAGGCCTAGGGAACATGTCCAGGAACAGGAATGTGAAAACTTACTTATTTACCCACTTATTTATTTATTTTAGCTTCACTCTTCGGTTTAATTGAAAACTAGACTTTTACATCCAAGAAAAACACAGTTTGGAATTTCTTTTAGTCATCTACAACTACGTTTTGCATTTTTCTCTAATTTCTAAAAAGAATGTTCCTTTTTTTTTCTGAACAAAGAAGCATTTGGTTTTCAGTTAGCTTTCCAAAATTAAGAGTCTAATGATCAGCACATATGTTTATCTTTTTAGCTTTTAGCTTTTTGCTATTTTCTCTCTGCCAAAGAAAGTATGTGGGAGAAAGAAAAGGAGATTCACAACTAAAACACATATATCCATACATCTACCCACCCGAGTATATACATATGCGTGGACATGTGAGTGAAGAAACAAATATGTAATACATGTATATCTACATACACACACACACACACACACTTCTATTTTCTCTCTGACACAAGATTTGATGAGGAACAAGGTTCAGCATGCTGGGTAGTCGCCCTCTTTCTTTCCCTAATAATATTATTCTCAGTCAAAAAGAAAAGTCAAGCCCTACCCTAAAAACAACTTCTCCCCCTTTGCTTCCAACCCTAATTTCCATTTCCTTCTAAGCAAATTACATTTCCTCACCCTTTCCTGTTCCTGGCACCATCCTTAGGCTCTACCACTACTTCTCCCATTTTTTCTTTTTTAGACAAAAATCATAGATTTGCCTGGTAAAATCACGATCCATGATTGTCAGAAACAAATGAGCCACCTGCCTGCGCTGTGTGCCCTTCTCCTTCCAGCCACGTGTGCTACCAAACTGCAGCTTGCCCCCTCCCCGTTTATCAAGCCCACTCTCCTCCCTCTCAGCCCTTCACAATATCACCTGTTTTTTCTTTTTCTACCTTTTCCCTGTCTTCCTTTCTTCTGTATGTCCAGGTCCTGTTCAAGTTGTCTGGGTAGTTGGAAAGAGAAAACGCGTTCTGAGCCCACACTCTGGGGATTAGTGGCAAGTGGGAGGAACTTTTAAAGAGGTAGTCATTGCTTGGTGCACTACCAGGTGAACTGGTGAGCTCACTCCAAGGCCTGGTGATTGGGGTGGGGCTGGGGATCTGGCCAGTCCCCGTGGTTGCCCAGTTTTGCTTTCTTGTTGGTTTTGGTAAACACAATCTACTGGTTATATTCCTGGACCCATGGCCTGGGAGTCAAGGTAGACTGTCCCCAGTGATTTTACAGTTCTCACCCCCATTTCTCCACACCATTTTATTATGTGCTATTTCCAAGTTTACCTTATTTCTTCTTTCCTACTTTTTTTGGTGGGTACATCTTAGTAGTTTTCCAAACATTAGAAAATGAACTATTTAGCTGAGATAGCCCAGCAGCAACAATGGCTTTCCAACACACTTTCTCCTCATGTCCTCTTTTGATATTTGGGGTCTGTGTTTCTCAAGTTGGCATTTCATTATTTCTGAGGACAGTGTGTGATCATAGAAAAGATCCAATTTTATACATTGATCCGTTAGTTCCATAGTTTCTTTCTACCAGATGAAATTAGTACCGCTAAGGTGGAAGAAGGGCAGATGATGAGAAATTACTTAACTGTATAATGTATGTTACTTGGGGATGGATATCCTAAGAGTCCTGACTGGACCACTATCCAATTATGAGTGTAACAAAATATCACACGTACCTAATGTATTTGTCCAAGTAACACAACAAAAATTAGTACCACTTAAAATTATATTGTCCCTAGGACTAAATAAATGGCACCTAACTTCCAGTCATGAAATATAGTGAAATTTCTAAAAATTGTTTATCTATCAACCATATTCCTCTATCACTTGAAATCAATGACATTCTGTTCTATTGTTCAGTTAGTCCCTTCATTAGGCAGGTGATATTCAGCATAAACTGGTATCTCTAATTCTTGAGGATTTGCACTTTTATATTTTTTGGAGCTAGTAAACTTCATTTCTAAAGTAAGCCTGGTGAAGTAAAGAGTCAGAGAGACTTTGAATCACTTATAGCTGCGTGGTCCTGGGGCGTGTCACTTTACCTCTTCAGTTCTGAGTTTCTTCATTAATAAAATGGGAATGCTACACTACTATCCAGTTGGGTTGTTGCAATGATTCGAGGATTAGAGTATACACACACACAACACACACATATATACAGCCATTTATACATATATACATATGCATATACAAAAACTTGGCATGTAGTTAGAATTTAACAAATGGTAACTGTGTGTTGTTGGTAAAAATTAAAAAAAAAATTGCAGGTTCATTACATTTTCCAAGGCTACAATTCAGATGACATGATTTTATCTTCTCTCATTTTACATAGAACTCCCTTTTAGTTTTTATTTTGTTTTGCTTTATTTTTATTTTTATTTTTGAGGCAGAGTCTCTCTTTGTCACACTTGGAGAGTGTCACGGCATCATAGCTCACAGCAACCTCAAACTCTTGGCTCAAGAGATCTTTTTGCCTCAGCTTCCCAACTAGTTGGGAGTAGAGGTGCCTGCCACAACACCCGGCTAGTTTTTCTATTTTTAGTAGAGATGGGCGTCTTGCTCTTGCTCAGGCTGGTCTCCAACTCTTGAACTCAAGCCATCCACCTGCCTCAGTCTCCCAGAATGCCAGGATTACAGGCGTGAGCCACAACACCCAGCCACTCCTTTTGAGGTTTTAGTGCTACATAAACTATAATGTAAAGGAAAGATGGTAGGTACCTTGAGAAGCAATTTTATTGCTGTATCCTTGTTCATCTCAGGATGGGGAGGACTCACCCAATTCTACGATGGCCTCTGGTCTTTACGCTCTTTAAGAGATGCAAAGGCCACTGTTCTCTGTGCTGCCTTTTGTGGGAATAGACTCTAAGCGGTAGGCACATTTATGAGCCCTCTCTTTAATGGAGCCGTTGCTTGCCATGGCTTTCTGTAAAGCCCCTCTTTCATCTTCAGAATCTTAAATACCCAGTCTCTGGTTGGGAAAGTCTCCCTGCTTCATTGTCCCCCGTGAATCCCTCCCACAAAGAAACCTTCCTTCGTGCATGGCTGCCAAATTAGTACTGCTGCCGGGGGATATGACTGGAAGACTTCATATTCTGTCAACTTGAGTCAGATTGTCCTCATAGTCCAAAGAAGTTTTTTGTTTTCTTGTTTTCTGATTGGCTTTTTAGAGGCAGGGCATATATCTCTTGAGACATTATGTTGTCATGGCTGATGATGTGTTAATATAATGGGTGAAATGCTTATGTAAAATGATGGTGGCTTTTGGATATTCAGACTTTATTATCAAATCTCTTATGAAACATTCCAAAGACACAGCCCCTTTGTGGTCCACATTCGGAAACCAGTATCTCAAGAAGGATCTGGTGCACTACACTAGGTGCAGACAGTTCTCAGTCGAGCTTAGACCGTTCATTTTACCTTCTGCTACAGATTTAAGAAGTATCCCATCCATTTTTAGTTTCACAGCCTGATGAATGCTGTGTTTACTTCCAAAGCTATATCTTTTGTATATTTTCAGCTATCTGTGTCATGTATCTGTGGGCTTTAAATCACTGATGTAAAATTACATAATAATGCTCCCTTTCATAGGCTTTTCAGTTGTTAATTTCAATAACGATGATGGTGATGTTGATATAGTAATTTCACTCTGGGGAATATGTTCTACAGAAATACAAATATAAGTGAGTTTCAACAAATTGTGTAAAGACGTTTATTTCAATGATGTTCAATGTGACAAAATGAATGCTTTTTGTTAGAGACATGGATAAATGATTTTATTTTCTCCATGGAATATTCTGCAAGTACTAAAGAGCATGAATTAGAGCTATAACAGATAATTTGGAGAAACATCCCATGAAATTGTTGGAAAGGAAAAAGCAACATGTAGAAAAGTACTTATAATATCCTAACTTCAAAAATATTTAATTTTTTTATTGTATGTTTATTTATTTACTTTTGAGACAGAGTCTTGCCGTCACCCTGGGTGGAGTGTCATGGTGTCATCATAGCTCACAGCAACTTTAAACTCTTGGGTTCAAGAGATCCTCTTCTCTCAGCCTCCTGAATAGCTGGGACTACAGGTGCCCGCCACCACGCCCAGCTAGTTTTTCCAGTTTTAGTAGAGACGAAGTCTTGCTCTTGCTGAGGCTGGTCTCAAACTCCTGAGGTCAAGGGATCCATCCACATTGGCCTCCCAGAGTGACAAGGTTATAGAGATCAGCCACTGTGCCCAGTCTCCAATGATTCTTTTAAAATTTCTGTATAAACGTTAACACAAACACTCATATCATCTGTAAAGGATTCTGGTCAAAGAGAAAAACATGAATGGATATGTATCAAATTGTTAATATGCTTTACCTTGAGGAATAATCACAATGTGGGTAGATGAATGGATGAAGATTAAATAAATAAAATAGAAAAAGAAAGTTACTAAAAATATAAATGTCTTAACACAATAACTAAGAGAATGCTGTGAAGGTTATGTTGACTAGTTTGATGAAAGCATTTCAGATTGTGTGTAAAACTGGCACATTGAACCTCATGATTGCATTCATGTACATAGCTATGATTTAATAAAAAAAAAGAAAAAAAGAAAAAAAGATACTAAAAGCAGTTTGATAGGGAAAAACAAAATAAAAATATTTCAGAACTTAGATAATAAAAGTCTAGCTCTGATCCTGGAATAGACAAGCAGTTGCAAATTAAAACAGGAATCTGAGACAAAATTTGGCAGTAATTCACTGTGATTTTTGACCCCTGGATGCCCTGTTGAGAAACACCCCCTGAACATCAGAGTTGACATTAGACAGAGAGTGGTCACCTCACTTGTTGTTCTTGTACAAAAGGTCAAAGTCTCTGTGCTAGGGGCTCATAAGGCCAGCTCCTACCCTAGGAGCAGGAAAACCAAAGGGACTGTGATTAAGGGAAATACGTGAAGAAGAGTTTATTTTACAGCACTGAGTTCCCATCTGAAAAGTTTCATGGCAGTTGCTGTGGTTATAAGTCACCAGGAAAATGCCAGCAGTTGCCTGAGCCTTGCAGAGCAGGAGCCTTATGGAATAAGAAAGATGGCTTGTTGAAGGGAGAGGCTTTGTCACTGTTGTTTTGTTGGGGAGAGCAGAGATGAGGAGACAAGATAGACTTTTGAACCCCATTCCATTTTCCAGATCCTATCAGCCATAACTGGTCTGGTGTATAAGGGTCCAAAAAGAACTTCCCAGGCTGGGTTTGGACCCAAGGGGATCAGGGACAGTAGTTAGGAGTTCACACTAGAGAAGCTGAGAGTGAGGGGCCAGCCAGGAACACACAGCAAGGCAAAAGAGGAAGCCAGACGGGAGCCCCATTAGTTGATGTTGGCCTGATGCTCATGTCTGCATTTTAAAACAATAATTTTCTTTCTTTCTTTCTTTTCTTTTCTTTTTTTTTTTTTTTGAGACAGAGTCTCACTATGTTGCATGAGTCTCACTATGTGGCATCACAGCTCACAGCAACCACGTATTCTTGGGCTTAAGTGATTCTCTTGCCTCAGCCTCCCAAGTAGCTGGGACCACAGGTGCCTGCCACGATGCCCGGCTATTTTTTTTTGTTGCAGTTGTCATTGTTGTTTTAGCTGGCCTGGGCTGGGTACGAACCCACCAGCCTCGTTGTACGTGGCTGGCGCCATAACCACTGTGCTACGGGCGCTGAGCCAAAACAATAATTTTCAGAAGTTACTTTCCACTTAGAATCATATAATTTTAGAATTTTATATGAAAGAACTTTAAGGGTTAAATTTCTGAATGGTCTCAGTATGACATTTTGAGCACAGCAATTTTTCATTATGTTGGATCATCCTTTACTTTGCTACATATTTAGCTTGCCCAAATATGACAATAAATCATCAATAAATGTCAGTGAAAACTCCCTGGCATTAGAAAAATTAAAAATAAAACTGCCTCCATATATCTTCAGATGCTTCTATGGGGGAAGTATTGCTGCCACTGAGACCACCTTAAAGATCTCTTCATCAGAGAACAGCCACCCCCCTGCCCGTTTAAGCATGCAACT